CTCTCTCTCTCTCTCCCGCAGGAACTCCGCCAACAACTGGACAAGCTGCTGACCAGGAAGATCACCCGGCCGGGCCCCACCTCGTGGGACAACAGCACCTCGGAGGGGCCCCTCATGGCGGCCATCGCTGACCTCTTGTGTACCGAGGAGGCGGGACAGAGCATGGGAGGGAGTATAGGTTACCCCCCTGAAGGACAGTAGTATCACTGGAGGTATCAAGTATCTCTCTTGAGGACAGTGTGGGAGGAGGTAGGGGTATCCTTCTTGAGGACAGAATGTGGGAGGAGGTGTCAGGTATCCCTTTGAAGGTCAGTGGTGTAAGAGGAGGTAATGGATGTCCCTCTGGATTACAGTAGTATGGAAAGAGGTATCAGGTTTCCTTCTTGAGGACAGAATGTGGGGTGAGGTCTCAGGTATCCCCTAAGGAATAGAAAAAGGTATCCATCCCCTCAGCCGGACAGAATATTGGAGGAGGTTTTGGGTATCTCCCTTAAGGACAGTACTATGGGAGGAGGTGTGGGATATCCTTCTTGAGGACGGAATGTGGGAGGAGGTATTGGGTGTCGTTCTTGAAGACAGAATGTGGGAGGAGGTATCGGGTGTCGTTCTTGAAGACTGAATGTGAGAGGAGGTATCGGGTGTCGTTCTTGAAGACTGAATGTGGGAGGAGGTATCAGGTGTCGTTCTTGAAGACAGAATGTGGGAGGAGGTATCGGGTGTCGTTCTTGAAGACAGAATGTGGGAGGAGGTATCGTGTGTCGTTCTTGAAGACAGAATGTGGGAGGAGGTATCGGGTATCCCCAAGGGGACCGGGACCGAAAAAAAGGGAGATAGTATCAGGTATCGTCCTGGAGGACGGTAGTGTGGGAGAAGGTATCGGATATCCTTCAAGAGGACAGAGTATAGGAGGAGGTATTGGGTATCTTCATGGAGAACAGCAGTATAGGAAGAAGTATCAGGTATCGTCCTGGAGGATAGTAGTACGGGAGGAGGTATTGGGTGTCCCCTGGAGGACAGTATGAAAGGACGTATCGGGTATCCTTCTGGGGGGTGAGTAGTATGGGAGGAGGTAGCGGGTATCATTGTGGAGGATAGAATATGGGAGGAGGTATCAGGTGTCATCCTATGGGAAGAGCAGGAGTGGATGCTGAGTTTGGCTGATGTGTGTGATCTATAAGACATACCAATAATTTGGGGGGGAGAAGATGCTCCGATACTGTGTGGCATACCGGTGGTTTTGTGGAGAGTGGATACAATGGCTCTGTGAGACCAAATGATACGACTGTATGTTTGGATGATGTAATAGTGTTACTAGTGTTAGGCATGCCAATAGATTGGATGAGAGTGGATGCGCGGCACTGGCCCAGATTGTATGCAGCTGGGCATGTGCGAGACAACAGGGACTTAGCTTCAAACATTTCTGTCAGAATCCACATTACTCTGTGCACACACACACACACACACGCACGCACACATACACACACACATACATATACACACACACACACACAAACATACAC